AGTTATACAGTTGCTCACATTGTTACTTTCAGTTGCAAACATGGATCCCATTGGTGTACAACATTCTTTAGTAGAACTGTATCATTGTTTATTGATCTACTTTAACGTGCATGGTAGGCCCTGAGTTGTTTTCTCTTTTGTTAGTACCAATAATTTTAGTGTGAACACTCTTGTAAAAAACTTTCATAGACACAAACACCCATTTAGGTTGTATATAAAGCCAGGAGTTGAAAATGTGTGTGTGTGTCTGCATATAAAATTTAGATTTATTAAATACCATCACACAGTTCTCCATGAAGTCTGCCAATCCACCTGGCCATAACACACTACCCTTCTGTGGGTGCCTTGTTGAACATCCTCACAATAAGTAACAGGATCTTTTCCTTTAATTATGGCCCTTATTTAGAGTATTTGATATTCCTGACAACTAACAAAGTTGAATGTTCCCTTTTATAAAGTGTTTCCCAGTGAAAATACAGAATGGAAGGCCTGTTAAGTAGACCAGCTTGATGGTGGTGGGACTCCTGCATCCCAAACTCTCTGCTATCACTGCCACTTCCAGTTCATGTCTGGTTGGCTTACAGCTGTAATGTGTTGCATTGGTATGAGTGTATTCCCAGCCATCTGCCATTGTCTCAGTCATGCTCAATGGGTATGTGCAGTGATAGATTCATGTTAATGTAATCCAGGATGCAGTACCTTCAATAGATAATTAAGATTATTCAGTTTTAGTCCCTCATTTGACTGAGTAGAACCTGAGGTTCAAAGAGAAAGAGTGGTTTGTTGAAGGTCACAGGTAGAATGAGATTGGAAGAGCCACTCTGACTGAATATTGTTGTCATTGCCTCCGCAGTTCAGAGTGTGTTTCTACAGAAGATGTCAAGCTCCGTTGAGTATGCTGCCTCTTCTTATGGAGCCACACACTTATTGATATCAAGAGAATTATTTCAGTTTTTACTTAACAAATTTTGATAACCAGATTTTTACCACACATAGCTATTTGCTTGGATTATTATACAAAGACACTAACTGTCATCCCTGGTAGTGCTTGTGCTTGGAGATATTAATGCCTGAGCAAAAATAAAGAGCTATGGTTAAGAATTTGACATATAACACTGACTGATTATGCAAAAATTACTGAAGGAGACTATGTTCAGGAGCTAGAGATGGGAAGAGGAACTTACAGATGCTGGGATGACAGTGTGGTTGTCTTCTTGGGAATGAACCCAACTGAAGTTAGGACTGTAAGTTGAAAGAAGGTATACGAGTCATGCCTGGAAAAAGTCCAGCCACTGTTAATATAAAGTGAACAGTTTGTGCCACACTGATGTAGTTGTCAACCACAGAGAGTGGAATAAAACTCGCCTGTGTGAACAATGAACACTTCCTGCACTAGTCAGTGGGGGAAGTAGATGCCATTGAGTGAGCATGTGTGCTGTGTGCCATCACATTCAAAATGACTGAGTGAGTAGAGCAAGGAATCTGCATCAAATTTTATGTTAAGCTGAACATTCCTGTGGAAACCGTTGGGATGATTCCAAAGGCTGCAACTATGGGCAACTGGTGAGTGGTAGCTTCATCACACAATGTGCCCACTAGTGCATCATGTCTCCTGCAGGTTTTTTGACTAAACGTCTGATCATTCAGGCAACTAAGACACCTCCAGCCCAGATTTGACACCCTGGGATTTGTAGACTTTCCCAAAGGCTATAGACTAAAATCAGCATTGAAATGGAAGATTTTTAGACCCTCAAAAAGATTGAAAAAATATCACAGTGCAGATGATGGCTATTGGGAGAACTGTGTGAGGTCCCAAGGTACCTACTTTGATGGAGACTGAGATGCTTTGTCTTTGTTATTGCCCAATGTTTCTTATATCTTGTGACTTCTTAAAAAAAGTCTCTATTTTTCATATTCCATGGCTAGATACCTTCTGGACAGACCTTGTACACCTCAGGTGAGTTTGAGTAGAGGGAGAGAGGATGGAGTAGTGAGGAAAGCCTTCGGATAGTGAAAAGGTATGTTGGTTTATACCTTTACTGCAAGAAGAGCTATCTTTCCAAAACTGGACTATGTAGATCAGTGGTGAGGTAGGGCTGTGGCCAAAGTGGGGTTTCAATAGGGAAGAATAAAATGGTGACCTATGAGTGAAGAGAATCAAATGCTTTTTTTCTAAATACTGAACAGAAAAAGTCCAGAGTACATGAGTTCATTGTAATAGATGAATATTGGTTCCTTTGTAGCTAATTGTGCCATGATAACCATAGTCCTTGGGATAGGGACAAGCAGAACAGCATGGCATGAGGTACTCTGGGATTAAGGATCTGAAGTCATTTCTTGGCAGTGTGGGGTTTGGGATTAGACTAATAGAGTGGGTCCAGGTATTTGTGCTGCACGTGGGAATGGTGTGGTCAGCATGGGTGGCCATGATAAAACCTCTACTCAGTTCTAAGAGTAAAGATAGGGTCAGGCTATACGAGTTCTTAGGTGGATGGCAGAGAGCCCCACAATCTCTGAGGCTAGGATGCACACAGGAATCTGACCATGGGGTGAGAAGGCTCTACTGCAGATGAGGGTGGATCCTGGAGACTTCACTTCCTGACATGAGGCCAGCAAGGACACAGTGTCTCCTTTCAGCACCAGGGCTTTAGCTCCTGATGAGCAGATGGTTGGCTCTGTATGATCTTAGAAACTCTCTTCAAGATTCATAAATGTTTGATTATCTATCTATCTATCTATCTATCTATATTCCTCCTTTTAATATATATATTAAATCTATAATAAAGGGATGAGGAAACTTAGGCTTAACAGGATTAAGTTCTCTAGGGTTACACAGATAACAAGAAAATAATTTTTTCTCCTCTTTTTCTTTTTATTGACTTTACTGGAGACAGGAAAGGATTTGAAAAAACTTGCATTCAGGTGTGTCACTTCAAAGTCCGTTCTTATCCTAGCCTTTCTCTCATTTGAACATTCTCTTAAAATGAAAAGAAGAGACAAACAGGAACAATGACTTTACTTGCTGAGTATATGTAAAAGCTATTATTTTACCATTTTAAAAATATATATAATTGAAATGGGATATTTTTTACCTAAACATATATATGAATCATGACCATCCAATCCAAATTTATACAAAATAAAGAGATTACATTTCACAGATATGAATACATTTATGTTTCATAAATGTATGTTTTTAATAAAATAATAGAGAGTGGGAGGGGTTTGGACAATGAACAGAGGTTCTGATGAGTTAAATATTCTATGAACAGCAATTAAATTATTTGGCATTATAAAAGACAAGAGGTAAGAGTAATGTTACTTTTGTCTTAAAACTCTCTCCAATCACTAATTGATGGCAAGTTACCTGCTGAAAATCACATGCATTTAGTGTCCTGTTTTATTCTATCATGCTTGGAAGCACATGACACTCAGCATTTTCCATACACCATAGGCATACCTAATATTAGGGATGAGGACATGAATGGGAAACCTTCTATCACCCAGTACCCTGTCCTTCTGGAATCAGAAAACTATGTCTCCTTGCTCCCTTCCTGAGAACACATAAAACAACATAAAACAAAATAATCACTCATAAGAATCACTCATTAGAAACATAATCAAAATTGTGTTTTGTTTTTCACAGCTGGTAATTGTTAATTGACTGCAAGGAGAACAACACAAGCAATTAATTTAACTAAGCTACTGGAATAGCAATGACATACTCAGAAATGACCACTATTAAAGTTGTGTGTAAAACATGGTTCCAGTTTATTTCAGAGATAAAGAGACAACAAATATAAAATTATTACAAATGGAATTCTACTATTTTTCCATTGAACACATACGTTTGTTTATAACTATGCCTTTACAATTCAGCCTGTATCAGTTGGGCAATTCATTTTTTAAAATTTTGTTTTAACTAGAATGTGTTCACATCAAGATGCAGGTTTCTTTTCCAGTGACCTTGAGGAGGTCCCGGTGTTATTAAGCCCAACTTCCATTCATACATTTCTGTGCATTTGTTGATAGGTTCATGTCTGTTCTCCACATTGAGGACAAGAAGGGAAATTCATAGCCTGAAGTGAATACTCTGAGGTGCAGGATGAATCTACAGCTCCTGATTCTCTGGATATTTGTTAATAAATTGGGGGCAGAATGATGAGGAATAGAGGATCCAGGTAGTTCTCTGTATGGGATCCCTGTCCCTGAAACTTATTCATACTAGGCTGAAAGAAAGAAGAACTGATGAACTTTGTCTAAGATGAACATACTAGCATAAAATACAAAATTGAAGGGAGCTTCGTATTTTTTAGAAAAATTACAAAGTCTCTTTACTGCTTCAGTTTTGCAGAGGACATTATTCATTGATTCAACAAAAAACATCCTGAAACAACGGCATTGTCAGTAGTCAGATATAAATGTTTCTGAACAAGAATGGAAAGAATCATGCATGAATGAAATTTTCAGTTCAGGCCAAAGGTTTTTTTTTATTATTCTTATTTACTTATTTACTACTTGTAAGTGTTATGATGCAATATTTATAGAGTGAGACAATTACATAGGAAAAAGACAAAAAAACCCATTTTAATCCATGAACTCCCCCTAAATGAGCAAGTTTATTATGCCCATTGTTTAAAAACATGGAACCTTGGAAGGGTGAGCTGAATTGGCATTGGTAGAGGGGTTGCTCACCCCATGATGTCTCACTGGGACTCACCTGTAAATAGACACGGAAGGGACAAAATCCTCCTTGAAAAACAGTGAAGTTTACCTATTACTACTCTCCCTTAGGTTAGCTAGGGGAGAAGATTATGATCAGTAATAATTATTCCCTATGTTTAATTGAGACACAATGATAAATAAAGGAAAATACTTACCACTGGACCGTGGTGAGTCAATAATAATGAATATCAAACTCCTGAATGAATTAAGACTAATAATGACTGGTCCCTAAGTTTAATTTAGACACAATGATAAGTAATGAAAAATACTTATCATCAGGCACTGGTGAACCCATAAAAATGCATATCCAATACCCAAACTATAGCTCTCAGGATCTTCAAATAAACACTACAGGTGAAAATGTGGCTTCAATCAGAACATAATTTAGAGTCAACTGCTTTTTTCAGAGTGTTTTTCACATCCTTATTCCTCAAACTGTAGATCAGCGGATTTAACATGGGAATGACAACTGTGTAGAAAACAGAGGCTACTTTGTCTGTGTCCATGGAGTGACTTGAGCTGGGTTGGAAATACATGAAGAGGAGTGTCCCATAAAACATAGCCACAGTGATTAAATGGGAGGCACAGGTAGAGAAGGCTTTGTGTCTGCCCTTGGCTGATTTCATCCTAAGGATGGTGATTACAATGTAGCTGTAGGAGAGGAGGACAGTAACAATACTGAACCCTAGAACACAGCTACTGTAAGTGAACATCACTATCTCATTGATGGTTGTGTCTGAGGTGGAGAGGGCAAGTAAGGGTGGGAAGTCACAGAAAAAGTGATTGATGACATTGGAATTGCAGAATGACAACCAAATTGGGCAATAAGTAAAGATTGCAGAATATTCCAGACTTTGGATGTATACAATAGTCATTAGCTGGGTACAAACTCTTCCAGACATGGCTGTTGTATACAAAAGTGGATTACAAATTGCTACATAACGGTCATATGCCATAACAGACAGCATGACACATTCCACATCTGCAAAGGTACCAAAAACAAACATCTGTACAGCACATAAATTATATGCAATCTTCTTTTGCTGAGATAAGAAATCAGCCAGCATTTTGGGGGACACAGTGGAGGAATAGCAGACATCACTGAATGACAGATTGCTCAAGAAATAATACATGTGGAGCTAGGGGTCCATGTTGATCAGCAGGATCATGCCTAGGTTGGTGATCACAGTGATGCCATAAACCAGCAGGAAGAGCACAAAGAGCCCCTGCTGCACATCCCGCCTGCCAGAGAGTCCTAAGAGTATGAAGTCTGTAAACACGGTGCAGTTTTCAAAGGCCATGATTTATGTCTGGAAATTCCCCAGTTGTGAAAGAAGAAAATGGATGTGCAGTGTTAACATCATCTATCTTATTAGTTAAATTGCTGATTTTTTCTATTTTCAGTAACTAGAAAAAGCAATAAACATTGGTAGAACTCCATGAGAGAATGTGATTCCTTACAAATTCACAGGGCCTGAAGATTTATAACTTTCTTTTATCAAAGTACTTCAGAATCAGTGGAAAGGATTTGTGTACCAAGGAGCTCTTGTTGCCCCAGATGTATGACAAGACAACCCACCACATACAAATTCCCTCAGAAATCACAACAGAATACAGTGAAGGGTTACAAATGGTGACATAGCAGTCGTAAGCCATAGAAGCAAAGGTAATGGATTCTGTGTCCGGAAAAGCACACAAAAAATAAAACTTCAAGGCATGGCCATAATAACAAATAGGTTTGTTCTCTGAAAGGAAATTGGTCAGCATTTTGGGAGCAATGACTGGGGAGTAAGAAAGGTCTACAAAGGGTAGTTTACTAAGGAAAAATTACATGGGGGATTGGAAATATGGATTAATTTTCATTAACATCCCTAATACATTGTCCCCATTGAAATCATACCATTCAGTGTCAGAACCATAAGGAGCAGGACCATCTACACAGTCCAGGTGGAGATGGACATTCTAAGAGAATAAGCTCAGTCATCTTAGTGTAGGTACCAGTTATAGATTCCATGTTCTATGATGTTTTGTTTTTATGAGAATTCTAACACGCTAAAATGCCATATTGATGGAAAGAAAAAATAGATATCATTACAAGGTTATTTCATTGTTTCAAAAAACTTATAAACAAGTAATAAAATAAAGAACCTCAGCCACAATCATTTTCAAATACAAACTCTCAGAAATACATATAGGAAATTATATATATTTTAGTTTGATATAGTCCCATTCATTTATTCTTGCCTTTATTTCCTTGCTTTGGGGTCAAACTCATAAAATACTCTGTAAGATCAAGCTCCATTAATTTCTTCTGTGTAATTCAGTGTTTCAAGTCTTATACTTAAGTCTTTGATCCATTTTGAGTTAATTTTTGTGTATGGGAACACAGTCTAATTTCATTCTTTTTGCATGTGACTTTCCAATTTTTTCTAGCACAATTCATTGGAGAGGCTTTCTTTTCTCCATTGAATTTTTTGACTCCTTTATTGAAAATTATTTGCCCACATTCATTTGGGTTTATTCTGAGCTCTCAGTTCTGTTCCACAGTTCTGTCCCAACACTGTGTCTTGGTTCTTCTGCCAACCATGTTGTTTTAATTATTGTACTCTGTGGTATAATTTGAAGTCTAGGATGGTGATGCAACCACCTTTCTTCTTTCTTTTGCAAATTGCTTTGGCTGTTTGGGGTCTTCTGTGGTTTCATACAACTACAATGATATTCTTATTCTATTTCTTTTAAAAATGTCATTGGTATTTTGATAATGATTGCATTAAATCTGTAGATTGTTTTGGGTAATATGAACATTTTAACTATGTTGATTTAAGGTATTTAAAGGTGATTTAAGTGAAGTCTTTAAGGTATTCACTATAAAGAATCATGTCATTAGCAAAAATTTTATTATTTTTCTTCTTGATTTGTTTGTCTTTAATTACTTTCTCTTCCCTGGTTACTCTGGCTAGACCATCCAGTCCTACCTGGAACAAGAGTGCTGAGAGTGGTCATCTTGTCCTGTTCCTGATCTTAGAGGAAAAGCTCTCAGTTTTTCTCCATTTAGTAGGATATGAGATGAGTGTTTGTCCTATAAGGCCTTTATGATGTCAATAGATCTTCTTTCTATTTTATCGTGTTTTAATTATAAACAGATATCTTCCCAAATGCTTTCTCTGCAATTCTCAATATGATTATGTAATTTTTACCCTTTATTTTGTTTATGTGATGTATTACATTGAAATAGATCAAAGACCTAAATCTAAGACCCGAAACACTAAGTTACAAAGAAGGTACTAAAGCTATGGACCCTGATCTTAGAGAATATTTTATGAATTAGACTTCAAAGGCAAAGGAAGTAAAGGTGGAAAAAAAGGGGACTGTATCAAACTCAAAAGCTTCTGCACATTAAAAGAATCTGCCAACAGAACAAAAAGGCAGCCATCCAAGTTGAAGATATTTGAAAACAACAGCTCTGACAGAATTTATACCTAACTTATATATAAACAACTTATACAAATCAATACCAAACAAACAATCTGACTTAAAAATGGGCAGAGGACCTGAACAGATGGTTCTCCCAAGAACACATACAAATGCCTATCAGATATATGAAAAGATGCTCAACTTCACTAGCTATTAGAAAAATGCAAATCACAGCTATAATCAGATGCCACCTCACTCCTGTTAGAATGGCTATCATCACCATAAGACAAAAAATAACAATTATTGGAAAGATTGTAGAAAAAAGGAACCCTCTTTCACTTCTGGTAGGAATGTAAACTGGTATAGCCATGTCGGGAAGCAGTTTGGAGCGTCCTTAAAAAAAATAAGAATAGTTACCATATGCCCCAGAAACACCTCTTCTGAGTGCATACCCCCCAAATCTAAAAAGCTTGAGTGGCAAAGACACATGCACCACCATGTTCATTGCAGGGCTATCCACAGTGGCCAAAACATGGAAACAACCAAAGTGTCCTTCAATAATAGCTCTTCCATAGAGGATTCAGTAAAGAACATGTGGTACATAGTACAATGGAACACTGCTTAGCCATAAGAAAAGATGTAATTCTGCCATTTGCCATAATGTGGATGGACTTTGAGAATATCATGCTAAGTGAACTAAGTCAGTCATAAAAAGCTAAGAACCACATGTTTTCACTCATATATGAGATAAAATCTGAAACTCTTAGGTACAGACAACAGTATTGTGGCTGTCAGAGGGTGTGGGATGTGGGAGTAATAAAGGATAAAGGCAGTCAAACCTATAGTGACAGAAGATGGTTTGACACTGGGTGTAAAATGCAATATACAGAGCATGAGTCATAGAGATGTGCCCTTGAAATCTATATAATCTTGTTGACCAGTGTCACCCCAATAAATTTAATTATAAAATAAAATAAAAGTACAATAAGTGCAAAAAAAGAAATGTACTTAATGGTACTAATCATCATAAGGCATCACAATAATCACAGGCTGGAGGACTTTGATTATTTGTAAATATCACATGTAGTAAATTATTGCATAACAGTTTTTCTTTCTAATTATTGAGTAAATCATCATGTTGCTATCTTGAACCAGAAGATAATTGAGTCATGTTCCCCTTGGGGAAAGTATTGCAGTTTTCATTAATCATTGAATAAGGGAATATAAATGATCTAAATTACTGTATTCATAGTGTATCTAAACATTCACTTGCTTATACACAGGTAAGTAGAGAAAAATTTAGGTCACTTGAAAAATAGTTTATGAGGTCTGACCTAAAACTGTGAATGCCAAATGTTATAAAATCTCCTCTAGTTGTTCCATATTGCATAGGTAAATACAACCCAATAGACACAAACTATTGAATTTATGTTTGCAGTTAAGTAGGAGTTTTCCAAATTGAGTGTCTGCTTTTGTTTTCATGATGGAAAGAGAATGATCAGATTAAAGCCAGAACAATAAAGAAAACATTGGACCTATTCAACTAACTGAGTGCTTGTAATTTTGCTCTAATGAAGAAATAATCTATTATCCTTTATTTTGCTAGTTTTGTGATATAGAAGTCACTTCAAGTTAATGCTATTTCATAATTTTCTCTAGCTTTAATGTTTAAAGTCTATTTAAATATATATCATGAATCATGTTTTATTTCACTGTGAGTGACAATAGGAGAGGGCAGTTACAGAAGGAGGCCATGATACAGTAAGGGACACTGTAATGCTGGGGAATGTGCTCAGTGCATGGCCATTATTATTTTTCTCCTCCTCACCAAATTACTATTTCAATGCTGAGACAAAGATATTTGGAATTTTCTGCCTTCTATGAAAACTGTGTCTTGGAACTGGTTTGGTATTAATTTCAAAAGCTGATGCTATATTATTAAATTCTTAAAAATCACAGACATTTTTCTTTATAACTCTGAATCCTTTCAAAGGATTTTAATATTGACTTATGTATACCAAATATAATATTTATTTTGGCATCTAAGGGAAATACCTGATTCAGCTAAAATTTAGCTACTGTTCAACATTGTGGTCTTTTACTATCTTACTTTCCCAAGTAAAATTAAGCCCACGGTAATGTGGCAAATGCAACTGTGATGAGCTGTGTGGTTAGAGAAAACAATCATAATTGGAATAAGATTCATTGGATTTAATCTTAAAAGAATAATATCTCAATACTTATTAATAATTACAAACCAAGTATAATACACTTAGCTAAGAATGAAATATAGCTGGAGGCTAAGGCCTTATATTTTAAATAATTAGTCATAAATTAGTTTTGGAATCCAATATTTGCTAATGTTTAAAAAATAAATATATCTGATGACAAAGAATAAATTATGTAGTCATCAAAAATTTGTAACCAAAAAATGACAAATTTGAAAGAGATTACTTTGTACATGTATTGCTTTACACATTTAGTTAGTCTGCCTATATGCTATCATATCTGCTTGGTCATTAAAACATATTGCTATGTTAAAGGGGAATGAACTGTGAAGAGGAAGCCTAATCTCACACCTGACATTTAATTATGGCCAGGGCAATGAACACTCACTTTCAGATCTAAATCCTATGTTAATTTTCCTAAACAGGTATGTCATTGAACTGAGATCAAGAATTGGGGTTAATTTTTTCTTGTGACTTTTGGTCATATTTTTAATACAGACAATCATTTTCATTGAAGTTTGTATTTCATTGCTTAATTTGGGTTACTGTGATCATGAGCCATCATCTATTAAAAATCTTGATTGTTCTTTCAGATAAACCCAAGGAGATCTAACAGAGGTAGAAGTTTTTACACATTAGCTCATGAAATGTTACAATCC